CTTTCATGGACACTGCCATAATACAGAGACACTTGAAGAGTTACAGGACTGACGACCGTACGTCCGGAACCCCTCATAGGTTGAAAATTTTGCTACGTGGGGAGAACAGTCGCAAGCGCGACATCTGGTTTCTGATTGCTATAATAAGCCAGCAACCATGAGTTTCTAATATCTCTTGGTAGCAGTCTGCCCTTTGCTTCAATGTTAAGAAATTGTGTCAGCTTACCATCATCCCCTTAAACATTCCCTTCCACTCTCAAAGGCTGAGCACCGATTTTGGGCCTGCCAAACGCCAGCACCACACCTCCAACTTGAAAGTTTCTGCGTATTTTTGTTCATTTTCCTTTTGTCTGTAGATCCAAGCCGTATTATTGACCGGCATCTCCTACATTCGTATTAAATCTCCCAGCAAGATGACGTCTGTAGTTGACCAATACTAAGCCTCTCGCTGTTCAGCTAGGTGGTGTTTGTGTCGTACACGTGTCCTCTTTGACTTCACATCTTTCTTCAACTACCAGACGAGCTTCTTGGAGTTCACAACCAGTCAGCGGTTTGAGCCCCATTTCCGCAATCTGGGCGGTGATAGACCATGTAAGACTTTCTTATAACAACTTCACATCCAGTCAATCTTGCTTTCTTCAGAGTGAGGGATGTAGCGGCCAGAATCCAATAATCTTGGCCTGAACGCGGGAAATAGCTAGGTGGTGCCAACTGACGTGAATCTGACTAGTTCCTGCGTTCTACTGTATAGCTTCCTAACTTCCGCGAGTGACGCACAGTCAAAGATTGGATCGAAATATCAAAACACGGTTTGTAGTAATTCAATAGTAGATTCGTAACAAAATCTGTGGTACTATCAAAGCAACAATAAGTTATGTCAAATTACAAAAATACCTCAACAGTGCCGTTGGGTAACTATACAGTCCAAAACGTTCTCGGGTACAAATACGTACTACACGGTAAAAACTGGTTAAAAAATACAACTGTTAAATACCTGTCGGTCAATAGGAATATTCCCGGCAAAAGGGATCAAAACTCTGCCTACAGGAATCAAATCAACAAACAAACGTTCCCAGTAGACAGTCAAAAGACAAACAGTCAAATCACTGCACAACCGTAAGTTGAACCAAAACAAAATGTCGTGCGCAGTAAAACAACATCACCTTATCAACAGTCCAGCGTCACATGATAGGAAAGTGAAACACTCATAATAAGTCTCAAACATACAAAGGCAAATACCGAGTGTAAAGTCAAATAAGACAGTTAAACAAGCAAATAACATTACATCGGCGAGGGTCAAAGGTACACCATCCATAACGAGGGTAAAAATGTTAAAATAAATGTCAATACAATCAAGTAAGGGTGATCGGGAGGGATTTTCAGATCATTTTTCCGTTACAAGGGATACACCCACATATACGCATTCAATTCTTATGCTGCCATTACCTTTCAGAGACTCATAGGCAAGTGAGAATTTTTCATATAGCTATGCAACAAAAGAATAACTAAAAGTCACCAAGATTTTATCTGGCTGTCACGTAACACCAAACATTCGGTTAGATATAACTCAGTTGGCTTGAAGTTAGACCCACTATCTGACAACGTCGGAGCATTTGTCCAAGGGATTTCGATGGTGTGTAATTTGCTTCGGTGTTTCAATCGTTCCGCCCTCGAAAGGAACTAAAAAATGCATCCACAACTACATTCAGCATGATTTGAAATTTCTTCCGTCGTTTTTGGAATATCTTCTAAACATGGCTCTGACTAATCACATACAAAAATAGAGCACGAAACTTGTTCCGTTTTCTTTTTGATTAGGGTAAAACTCGCCTCGCCACGACGTCAGGCAGTTTAGGGGGATTCCATTCATCACATGAGTCAGCGAACGGGCTCTATTTCTATGGGGCCAATGAATTACCTGAAAGCCTCACAGGGTCCAAATAACAATTTTTTACTTGTCTACCATTTATTTTGGTATCTTTCAAAGCATGCCCCGGCACAATTGAAGGTCTTTCGAACTTGCTGCCAACATGCCGCTAGCGTCTCAGGGAGCTTCACTGCATGTGTGGTTTCGAATGCCATATCACCTTTGAAGTGGGACAACAGCACCGCCTCATTGGACATGTAAGCCCCATTTCCCCATATAATCAGTAACCTTCTAGGTTATCTTCAAGCTATATTAAGACGATTGGATAATCTTTATGATTTCCATCGAACCACCGGGGCTCACTTTAAAGCTGCCTATAACGTTATCCTTCTCTAATCATTTGGTTGAGTCAAAGACGAACACAGACAGACTTTCAAGCCTAACTGAAGGTATGTCTTGAATGGCGGGAGTCACGTCTCCAGCATCATTCAAATTAGCAATTAGAAAAGTTGGGCAGCCCATCCTTCCGCTCACCTGATTATGATCACAAGGTTGGGCATCTTGCCCATATGTACAAGTAGAAACACCAAATCCAAACCGAGTTACCTGCAGTGGGCCAAATCCGGCTAAATTTAAACTGATTGAAATCGGTATCTACCTACATTGTGAACAATAGCTCTGGCAGTATCAGAGTCCCCTGGCCTCCTAATGCTTTCAATAAACATTACCGACTGAAATAAAACATTCAGAAAAATGTGGTGGATGTAATCTCAATGCTTATTGGTGATGGTTCAATAGTGTTGACATAAAGTCTAAAACATCAGGAGTTTAGGCACGCAGACTTTCCGCGGTGTCAGTGGCATGAGTCTAATGTAAGTTCATGCAACAACTCTGATTGCTTCTCATTCAAACCGCAAGTATGCTAACGATCAGCGAATACTGCGTTTAGGATTACAGTGGGTGAATGGGGAGAAATTTATTGCCACCACACGAACGTGACGACTTCAGTGTTCTAACAACCTCGATGAGAATAATTAAGAGTTAGTTGTTACGGACCGAAGTTACGGCTCAAATGGTTGGTAAAAGAGTGGAAACGTTATAGGCTTGAATTCTGCGTGTGTTCTCCAGGGCTAATTTCACGACAAAGTTTAAGCGGCGGAGTTGGTTTCTATGTATATGGGGCTACAGTAAGCTAATATCGGGTCCCATCTAAGCCTTGCAGACCTTAGAGGATATACATCAAGCGCCACGAATCGTTCATCATGGGTTTTAGGGCAAGTCCTCGAGCAGATTCGACTGATCACCCTTTGATGCTTTCTGGGCTTCGTTTATCCTTCTTCAGGAAAGGGGGAAACTCTTTAGTCCGAAACTGCTGGTGGGGCCGGATAAAGCTACTGAAAATCTGGTGGGAACATCCACGATAAATCTGTTTAAAGTTCCCCCGACGGATTCCAGCAACAAGTTTCCACGAAATACATTTCTGTTACGCTTGTCACTAGGATTACAAGCCTTGAGAGACTAAAACGCGTAAATCCTTCTTGGTCAATGACGCTTTTGGTTGTATGTGGTTGGGACCACTACTTGACGTATGCCAGATGCACCAGTTAGAATTTTGTGAATCAAACGGAAGCCCGTTATTGATCACCCACTCTTGAAATTAGGCTAAGCACTCCAATAGTAAGACACTACATTGATCCACAAGACCTAGAAGTGAGCTCAAGGAAATAAGTTGACTCGTAAATTGATATAGGATTGTCCTCTATAAAGTTCTGCGCAGAAAAGCAGAGATGAACTCTTTGCTTTTAAGATGGACTATACCCTTTAAAAGGAGGAAAGCTCTACGAACAAGACATCATAAAGCAAAACCTTGCGGTTTGGTTGGCCAGTATCAAGGATATCCTGCCATTCTTATTTTCACCAATCACCAGCGGCCTTCCTATTAAAATCTCGTCTATCCTCCTATTTGCTGATGACAACAAAGTATGGAGGACAGTAGGTAGGGAAGATGATGCTAAGCTGCTCCAAGACGGTCTATTGCTGATAAAAAAAGGAAGTGCAAAACGCTTATTGGTTTTGTCAGCAGTTGCATTGCCCTCTCAAACAAACGAAGCCATAATTTGCACGAAAAAGACTTTCAAATAGACAGTAACTACCTCCAAAGCTATAATCAGTAAAAGCGTAAGGACTTATGGCCCCACTGAAGGAGTATGAACGAACAAAAAGAGCACAGTCCCAAGACCTAGAAGTAAAAATTCGAAAACTAGAAGTTTGCTCTTCTCACATAATTGGTGTTGGATGTTGGATTGTAGTAGCGCAATATCGATATACATACAAGATCGCCCATCAGGCAGACCATGCAAACAAATCAATTTTGCCTGCAACTCAACGATCTTCACGAGGAAACCCCATTAAGATAGCACACCAGAGAGCCAACACCACACTCAGGTCCAAATTTTTCTCCCTAAGAGTATGTGCTTTATGGAATGCCTTACCGCGACACATCGTTATAGCTCCTTCAATCGACCCTTTCAAGAGGCGATTAGACAGTTATGTCACCTCGCATGGACTACCACGGACGTACTCAGGTAGTCACCAACCTCAGTAGCCCCAACTCCCTCCTAACTACCACTCACTATCTCTCTCCTTAATACACCCACATTACCTACTAATTCTTCTGTAGGAACCAAACCCACGCGACCATTCGGGCAATTCCAAAATACTTTTCTTTCGTTCTCATTTCTCTCTTCACCCCTTCTTTTCTTCTCCTTCCCTTTTCTCTTCCCTACATTATTATTACTATTATTTTTATTTTTATCTATTTTTTTCCTCTTCCTTATTTCTCTCTTCATTCCTTTACCACTACCTTAATATTCTCTTTCAGGTACCTACACAGACAGGAGTCACGGTTGTTCTCTAAACTTCCCAGCAGCCCGTAGCTCCCTAATCACTCTACAAATTACAACCTACTAACCCACAAAACATCCACCTCACCGAAGCTAAAAGCAAGAAAGCAGAGGGGGTTTCCTCGTCCACTGCAGGAGTAAACCGAACAACTGGAACTAAGCCCTAAGAACTAGACGCGAGATATCAAAAACTACTAGTTTTCTACGCTCGTACTATCAATATTGGATATTGGATATTAGCGCAACTTATGGACCCCTCGCTAGACTATCCTAAAATCTACCAATCTTTAAGTAGCGAAGTTAAGAAGTAGTGCTCATATAATTTCCAAATCATACTATTCCTTAGGAAGTTGAATGAAAGAAGTAAATCTGATGAGCAGACTTCTGACTTTGGTAAATTTCGGGAATATTTAAATAAATATATAATTAAACTAGCATGTGTGGCCAAAAGTCTTGCTGTCCAAGAATGTCATGAAATAGCAGCAGTATTCGCGCTGGGAAAGGCCAGGTTTGTTTGGTTTTTTGCCTGGGTACACGTTTTCCTGACTGTCGTCTAAACGTGGATTAAGATTAGCTATTGTTTCGGGCTTCCAGGGAAATACTAAGGAAGCACATAGACACTGAAAAAGTTAAAATCGGTTGTCGCATTTCCTTTTATTTCTTCGAAAAACCACGTTATTCTCAATATAGCTTCCCTAGTTTTCTTCGGGGGCACACTGAATGTTTTTGGTACAAACCCGAAAATCTCACTTCGGGCACAGATGAAGGGAAGCACGATATTCTCCGAAATTTCCAAACATTTTCCTCGAAACTGTTAAAAGTTCCAAAGTGCACCCAACTTGTATACAATGCGCCCGAAGTTCACTAAGTGTTGACAGTGCGCCGTGAGTTTTTTTAATAACCTGTATCCACAGGTGTAAGAGGCTATACTCGGTTATTTTATCATATATCTTTTTCACGTTTCATTACCGCACGTGTTTGTGCATTATAAATCAATGAAATGGGAACGAACAACGGAAATAATTGAAAACTTTGGGGGACACCCGAAATTTAGTAAATGCGCCCGAAGTTGCTTCGACCTAAACCTTAAAGTCAGTGAGCCCGGAGTAAATGCTGGCTGGGTAGATAGTCAACAATTATCAAATCGCTGGGGTGAACACTTGGCTAACATGTGACTGCTCGTAGTAGTGATATCACCAACACACGGCGCGAAGTTGTGCATGACCCAAAGTTAACTTATCGTTGGCCTTGTGCCACACGCTAAGCACTTTGGTTGCACTTTGACATTTTTGGGTAATTCTCGAAATCAACTGCGGGAGCAGTTTGGAACTTTTGAGCAGGTCTCCAAAATAAATTATATTTCTCAAGATTAGGAAGTTAATAAACAGTTAAAGATCTCGAATATCACGACTATCCATCCACACATTCAGATTCTATTTACATACACTATTTACTGCCTGTCATAACGCCTTATATGCAAAACTTTAGGTGCGGTGCAGACAGTTTGGATAATTTGGGCGCACTTTGACAATTTCGAGAACGAGATTGCATTTTCTGCAGTAAGCCCAAAGTTTTTCTGCCGGTTTCGCCCAAAAATTTCAAAGTGCGCCCAAAGTGTTTGCCGACTGGGATTTTGCTCCAAGTTAAAGCATTATTTCTCCCAACATCTTTCTATGACAGATATTATTTTCAGCAAGACATTCCTGTAATACGAAAACCGTTCATCCACAGAAATCGAAAGCAAAATATTTGCTATTGGCTAAATTTAGGGGGAACTAGTCTTTGCTTTAATTATTGGTCTAGTATTACGCGTTTCTTTACTCTGCAAGAATATAGACATTAACATTGTGCGCATCCAATCGCGATTGGTTTCGACTGAAATAATCACTCCTACCCTCCCTACAACCGTTGCTGTTTGATATCGTAACCGACTCACTTGATTATGATGAGCCATCTGCTATTGAATAACCTAATTTGAGTCCGTAGTCAGTTGGACAGATGTCACTGCTAACGACAATCACTCACATACGCCACAAACGTCCATCTGCACACCTCCCTCAGTATGTAATTGGAGGTTTATTCTGATCTGTAGAAGATGGTAAGTACTACATGAATTTCAAAAACTTGGATACCACTAACCTACATGTTACGTTTTTGAATGGTAGGTGCTTACAATTAGCATATCTATGGACACAATAATCTATTGCATATTTCAAGAAAATGCTGCGTTAAAACACTTCGTTTCCTGACGTTTTCTTGTAGGTGTTTTCTAGGGATTCTAGGTCTTATGAAAGTTTCATATGTGGGAAGAGAACAGTAGGGGTCGACAATATTGCATAGAAAGGCGAGTATATATTGTCATGTAAATAGAATCAGTGAACTGTTAAGTTTTTACCGATAAAATTAGTAACTAGTGTAACAGGAGTAGAAACGGAAGGTTAAAGAACCAGTTTTTAATAAATGAAGTTTGTCACCAACTTACGTGAGGAAAATTTTCGTGATGTAAACAAATGTCGATCACTAACTTAGTCCTCACCTAACACGATTTATATATATATATATATATATATATATATATATATATATATATATTAAATATACTAGCAGATATCATTTTTACTCATTAGTTTCGCTGCATAACGTGTTTTTTACGGTGCTAGTACCTTACAGGTTGTCTTCAATCTTTAGTGACCCAAGATTGTTCCTAGATTTACCAACTTGGTTCAGACACTTCGGCGTATGCAACCGGACAGTGTCATTACCCCTCACACAATAAGTGTGGTTCATAACTTAGTGTATAAATACTTTACCGCACTGCTGCATTATTTATTGTCTATTAACTAGTCCGTCACCTTTGTATAAAGTGTGCCCATATCTGCAAATTTAGCTTTTGACTGTCTCCGGGTTAATCACATTAGATCTAGTTACTTGTCAACCAATGTTAGTCCTACACTAAGCCTATGTTAACCCTGGGTTTGTAACTGGTCCTGTCCTGGACGTGTATTAGTCCCACAATGGCTCCATTTCAGTGAATTAGACTCCGGGTTCATCAAGTTAGTGGCCATGCATGGGGAGATGAAGGATGAAATAAATAAATCAACAAAAAGTATCTAAAACTTTGAATTATATGTACTTTGCCTTTGTGCTATTGTCTTCAACATAAAGCCATATTGATCAAGATTTCCAGTTATTTTTTCTCATAACCTAAAAGAGTCTTGGCTTAGTTGGGAATGACTTGATTAATCTTTGCAACATGTTATCATGTTTCTTATTACTCAATAAACTCAGCATTTCTGAGAGGTATTCTTGTTAGTTTGACACACAAAATCAACATAGAACCTCACACACACAAATGCGTAACCACGAATTACCACACTTTAAAGTAGTACACGATGAACAAGTGGATAGAAAACGATTGGTATCAAGGTGGATAAAGTTGTAAAGATAAAGGTTATTGCGAATGTTTAAGCTTTAGATGATGTCAGGGAATGAATACATATGTGCCATTGGGACTGATCTTCAACAGTATCACCAGAAATCCTCAACCACTGACTCCTTTCGTCTCCGAAACCCCAATCGCCCTACACGACCTTGGCTAACAGTCAGAGACTTCACCGACTGGTGCCATATCTTGATTTGGTCACCCTGAACCCCCTTCCAACGTCCCCTAGCATGGCACGTCGAGGTAGGCGGTGCCCCGGCATGCGTAGTACATATCCAAGTATCTCAATCAGCTAAGGTTCACAACCTCATCAATTCACTTGCCTATCTTGCCCAGTACCCTTCACCTGACTGACTTCAACAGTGATTCCACTAAACGCGAGCAATGTTACAAAGACATCTGTGATCGAAATTCTGTATTCGCTTCATATCCTCTAATTTCAACGATTATATTTCAGTCGTATAGTAGGACAAAACGAACTTGAGTGTGGTATACTCATCTTTTGATAAATAATCGGATATCTTGCCACTCAGCACCACAGGTGATCCAGGTTGGCAAGTGCCTTCTGTATCCCAGCTGAGATTTCGTCAGCAAACAGCCTGTCCCAACTGATGCAACTCCTAGTGTAAGTGAAGTGGTCAACTCATTCCACCACTTCACTCCCTATCATTAAACTGGGAGTAGTTGGCGACGAGTCTGGGAGTATCATCTTGCATTTGAAACATGCGAAACTCATGCCAGCGAAATATATGCATATTTCTGCTCTACATTTTGTCAGCGTCTTCACCTAGCAGGACAATATCATATGTATGCTCCAGGTCAACCAGATGACCTCTAGGGAGTAGACCAGTACCTCTGAAGCCAGACGTACCTAAGGTGATTTCCACTAGTACGCCTATGAAAAATTCCACAAATGAATTTTATGGAATTGAAACGGCTGTCAAGGTATTTGAAAAGGTTCTTTAGGCCTTGTCTTTTGGAAAGAATACTCTGATGCTGTTACTATTATTATTTTTATTCTTATGTACGTACGTTATGCTACTTACAATTAGTTAGTAGACATTGCTTTTCGCTGAAATATCGTACTCATCTTCGATTGAATCAATCGTGGTCGCGCGTGTAGGAGCTCATATATCATCAAAGGTGGATCAGTTCAATCGAAGATAACAATGAGGAGTTACAAGTATCGACAAAAAATCGAGCACATTTAGTTGAATTTGAATCAAAGTGTGTATCAAACGTGCTATGTGAATTTTCAACATGTTGTTTATACTGCTCAATCACATGTTTTAATGGTTAAATTTAGGAAGAATGTGCATAATGTAACAGACATTTAAAGAACACACCTAAAGCAATTGCTTTGATTATAGACTTCTTCGCATATTCATATATGCATCTATTGACACGATGTGTATGTCGAATGAACTTTCTTGCTGTCAGTGTAATTTCATATATTATAATTTTTCTAGTAGAGGAATTATCGGTTGATGATGCACAACAGTTAGTGACATACTACTTTATACATATCATCGGTATTCCTTTTTTGGTGTGTAATAAAATCGTCAAGGAGGACTGGACCGATGAATCGATGTGTTTATTGCTTCAATTTTTATTATTTTCATAGTATTAGTTCAGTATTGTTGCGTTATTTTCCTATACTGTCCCGTAGAGTCTTTGCTTGTGACGTAGGCTGGGACGCTAATATGATATTTTCTAGACTGTTCACCGTTTGTAGCAACCACCATCAAATTAAGCACGACCTCAGGAGATACTCTCCAATTCTTTTTACGCCCTTTGAGGACTTAGTAATTTCTAATGTGTTACTTCTTAATGAGTATAGTTCTCAAGAGTGATAGAGGAGAATGTTGTGCAACAACGGGATATAGGTTTGTACTCTGAATAGTGCACCGCAGTTGCTGCTTCGGGCTGTTGATACTATGTTTTCTGGTGCGTTGTGTGGGGTTTAAACCCGATACCGAGGGTAGTTTCGTAGTGCGATAATATATCACTTGTATCTGACGCTGTAAGTGAACCTCTGTGAACTGGTGTCACTCAAGGACATCTACCAGGACTTAATTTAGGAGGAACTCGTATCACTATCATCCATGAGCTGCTCAAGAATCGAATGGTGCTATCTAACAGAATTGTGTGAGACTGTCTCAATGTTCTCATAGTGAGACATGATACGGTTTTAAAAGCCAATAAGTTTGCTACTGCATGACTTTGTCGAAAAGAATAATAACTTGAACTATTGAGGCACGTACGCCTTTTGTCTTCAAATGTTTCTATTCCACACATCTAAAACTGTAAAGTCAAAATCAAATACTTTGTGTTGTATTTTCGAGTCATGTTAGGCCGTTTGGTTTGATTAATTTCCAATTGAACCGTAACTGACTCTTTTATTGCAGTATTCAAATACATCTCAATTTCTAAAGACTCCTAACCCTGCTGATGTATCTTTCACCGGTCAGTGCTAACTCGACAGACTCGAACGGCTTTAAAAAGTCTTAGTAGAACCATTGTTTGTCACTCCTCTTTCCTTTCTTCTCGTACTTTATATTTCTTTTGACTGCATTCACTTACCTTCATCTTTCGCCTCACTCCCTTTTTACTTGATGTGCTGATATGAGGTGTGGCAACTTGGACCATTACGCAGTAATGCCTGGTCCTATGTTGATAATGATGATGATGATGATGAATGGAAAGAAATAGTTATTTGCCGAAATATTAGACGACTAAACAAAGTTGTCTGAGAGTTCTGAAATTGTTGTTTCTAATTCTGTAATCTGCAAAGTTTTTTTCTTTTTGATCATAACCATAAAATCACGCGCACTTTTATCAAGAACTATTCTCAGTTGTACTTTAAGTAACACATTTACGGCAACGTGTAGTTTTAACCCCACTGTCATAACTTATTGCCCATTTTGCAACATACCGAACACCACTTGTCCTTAAAGTTAGGCATAAGGAGCACAGTGGTTAGCAGGTTGAGAATGTTTGAGATGTGTCTCTCACCACTGAAATGCAAGTTGTTGCTTCACTATTAAATTGTGTTGATACTCCGTCTGACGTTAGGGAGTGGAATCATTGGATGAGTCAACCATTTCACATATTTGAAAAATTAGATTAGCCTTGATGGAGTAGTCAATGACTGAAAACGTACACCACCTTCGACACCAACGATATATCGGATTACTAATAAGAATCTAATGTGCTGCACTGTAATTCACTGTCTTATCCTATGGTAAGGAAACCTGACCATTAAAGGTAGACTATGTAAAGAGGCTTTAGGTTCTCAACAACCCTTCTCTTCATAGCATGGGCTGTGTATCATGAAACCACCGCATTAGTAATACAAAGGTTAGGCATGGAGTTTTATTTGAAGAGGGTAATTTAGTTGATAAGGTTTTAGACCTTCATCAGTTCAAGTGGCTGGGAGATACGTAAGGCATACGTAGTCACCATGTAGGCCCATTCATAATGTTAGCTGAAATAGATTTACACTGGGAAAAGTTTAATGGTGACCACACAAAACATGATATCTATCCATCAAGTTTCCAACTGTTGGTCTAAGTTGTGTAAGGAAATGTCATCTCGGTTGGGATCCGTGTGACAACTGAAATTGGTCGTTGAAGACTTGGTGATATAGCTCAAAATCAACCATCTTAGTGTAAATGCATAAGCTCATTATCCTATCATGTTGTATTCCTCCTTCCTCTCATTCTGTTACTTTCTATAGCTTTTGATTATATCATTTCCATCCCTTTTTCGTTTCATGTATTTGCCTTGTATCTTAGTAGTACTATTATATGCGCTTTATTTAGAACCATCATTTCGTTTATAATAGAGAATTCTCAGCATGTAATATTGCCGTGGTTTAGTCGTGATAGTAGGATTGTTGAAATATTCAATGACTTCAGAGTCATGAAAACTGTTCACTATTATGAAGTTGATTGATAAGACTTTTACGTATATGCTTTTTTCGTCCCACAATACACAAGCTAAATAAATAAGGCTTGATTGAATTTGTGTATGTAGTTGTGCATGCATAAAGTTTAAGGTATTTGCTTCTTGTCTTCCCTGAGGAGATAGACATGGAGAGAGGTGAGGATGCAGAGGATGCTTGTCATCGAATAAAGTATTTTTAGCTAGCTGTCTAAAAGAGTTCAATTTCCATCGACGACTGCGTTTATCAGTACGATCAGTAGTGTACCACTTACTTTACTGAAAGCCTTCAAAACCTTACGTAATACAGCATAGTGTTTTCTTCGGAAAGAATAAGAAGTAACAACAAATAAAAAATAAGTAAAACGCAGGAACTAACGAAACAAACACGTAGAGGCTGAGTTATGCCTCAAAGTCATAATTTTCTTATATGAAAGGTCGAGGAAAGGATTTTCCTCGAAATCAATAAAATATGCGATGGGGAAGACCAAGAAACGTCAAAAGAAAGGCATAAGCCACGAAGGATCACGCTTGATATATGGCCTACAAGTCATGGGACTGAAGCAGTCTTGTTCACGTCTTCGACAGAAATTAACCATCTGACATTTGAAAGGAAATCAGTATTAAGCTATTCAAGGTAGATCAGTGACCAGTTTCACTTAAAAAGTTATCAAACTGAGAACAATCTGAAGAAAAAGGTGACCGGGATGGATGCTGTTAGATCATCCGCATGCTTAATAAAATTATGTACCACTATGAATTGTAATTTGGAACATCACATTTAATATGATATCAGGTCACATTTTGATATTGACCAATTGACTAACTTACATTCTGTTACAGATCTTTTCAATTCATTCAATCAATGAATCATTCATTTACTTATTATATATTTATTTTTTCATTTATATTTTATTTTAGATGTGAATTTTCATCGAAAAATGTTACAGCTGAAGCATCATCATTGTTTACAGCTGCAAAGTACTTTATTCAAGCTGATGATATGTATACATCAATGAATGCTATAAATTATGAAGAGAATTTAGACTGTTCAGTTATTTGCCTATTGAGATCAGCAAGAGTAGATTGTATTCTCATGTATCTATTGTTTATTCACATTTAGATTTATGAGTTGAATGAACTATTCACATTGGCAACAAATGTATACATTTTTCTAGTCGATTTATTAATGGTATTTACACTATTTATTCATAAGTGGATTATTTTCTTCACTTTTTTTTTTTTTTTTTAAGCGAAAATGTAAATTTAGTCAAGCAATTCCATATTTAAAACGTGCTATGGAAATTGTATCGAAAGATATCTTGTTAAGTTTAGAGTTATATAAACGCTTAAGTCATTGTCAGTTATGTATACGTGAGTTTTTATTACATGTATGATTATTATCTTATTATCAATTGGTAGATGATTGGCCTGGTGCTCTGAGTACATTCATACGAATACAATGTTTATTGAAAGAAGAGTTTAGTAAGTAAAGTGTAAATATTAAAATATACTCAAAAAGAAAACAAAACAATCAATTATTTTCTTATTTTACCTTTTAATTTTTAGCGGTTAATTCATTTGATCTCTATGTACAATATTGGAGTAATTCTGAAATATTTCGTGTACTACTCATTCTATTGTGTATGGTAGGTGATTGTTATTTTGCTGGTTTAATCGAAAATAAATTAGCCTCCATATAGACTGTGTAATCTTGATGCATCTGGTTATTCTTTAAAACAATATAATGTGGATATCAATTATACAGATGACAAAGATGATACAATAACATCACCACCTTCTAAGTCAAATTATATTGATGATGATCTATTCATATTGCTGCAGTCTTTTGTGGTAAGTAACTCTTGAATAAACTGATAGTAAATAATGATTAAACATAATGAAGATGTCTAAGTTATCTGGATTTATTCTAGATATACTCATCAATACAAGAAATCGTTTTGGTGCTCACTAACTTACTCTATCTCTGTTCTCGGTGGGATAACTGATAGCAAATAAAAATACAAGTGTACTAAAGACTAGCTCACTTTGTTCCACTGTATAACCATAAAACAGCAGATGGAAGTACAAGACCTTAGGTATTTCATTTATATGTCTCTTCATAGCTTTTCACGCTTGTAATGTAGCCACAAACTGAACAATGTTGACGATAGACATTGATCAGTAGAAGGTTATATTCACTAAATGACGAGTTTGTTAGGATATTTGTTATATGAGAATATAGAGAAAAGACCAATCTGAAGAGCGACCGATCAAGGTGTGTTTTATGTTGTTACGTCTACAGTTAGGCAGATAGACGATGGATCAGTTAAACAATGGTATTATTTTAAATGGCGAACTATCTATATATTATAGATGTATTTCCCTTCGTTCTTGTCTTTGGTCTTTCCACCCCAATACGCCTTTCTGCACGTCCATCGTGTCTTCTCTATTAATGAATCAGGTTGGTGATCAACTAAGGAACTTGTTGAACGTTGGTGGCTGATAGTCGATATCCGTGCCTCGTTAGCAGTTATACCAGTTTTTGAATTATAACAGTTTGTTGGGTGTATCGTACCAGTGCCATGTACTAACTTGATAGCTTCCTAATTAAGATCAGGTTAAAAGAAAGCTTAAATCTAAACTTTGTGCGGTCTGCTTAAAATTTAAGGTACGAAAAATTTTCAACCGAGTTTATTTCATCAAATTTCTTCCTTTCAATTTGTTTCAATCTTTTAAAACCGTCAAATACTTTTGAACACTTTTAAAATGGTTTAAAATTGCCATTTTTCAAGCTAATAACAAAACAAAGAATAAACGATACTCCGGTATGAGATAGACTTATAAATGAACAGAAATACAGTATATTGTTATTCTTTGGATAACTATATCGGCTGAGTAAACTACCATCACCAAAATTACGCTTGATATTCTATTCATCCACCAGTCTAAATCAGATGCTAATGTAATACCAGGTGCCTATTTTACATTGTAGCTCTTATTACTGTTTTTCTTAACACTATTCAAATGCAATGATTATTTTGCTAAAAGATAAATGTACAAAAGGATGGATTTATTAAACATGTTGAGAATCCCATCCGTACCACGAGTCTTGTTCGGAACAAAGCTATTATTATTATTATTATTATTATTATTATTATTATTATTATTATTATTATTAGCAGTCAGGCCTAGACATAATATCATTCGATGAAGGCTAGTCGCTAACGCGCAAGATATTTTTGGCTAAATGGTTGTTGGCTTAGAAATTTTAACACTCAGTACCTGGAGACTCTTAATAAAATGGTTTGAAATCGATTACAATCGTACAGATTTAATCACTCTTTGAACACTAATACTAGTTTTCATTTATTTGTTTGTTTATTTCTTCTCTACCCTATTCCTGTGTTTGTATTGTTGTGAAGTATGACAATCTGAACTTATATATTTTTGCAAGTTTTCTACTTCATTTAGTCTTTTTGTATGGAGCTGTAGCTTAGTGGTTTAGATAGATGACTATTGACCTGTGGGTCACGGGTTCGAACCCCGCTTTACCTACTGAGATTTGGGTAGCCAGATAGCAGTATCATTAGCCTTCATACACTATAGATTGACTGCCTACTGCATAGGTGCGCACAAGGTAACTGAGTGCATTTAGTTCGTTCGTACGTAGTTTTTCTGTCTGTGATTATCAACTGTGGGAAGAAAAATTCGCTGTAAAAACTATACGTTTTCATTATTTTTTTAAAATGTAAGGGTTAATTGGTGTAATGTCTGGTTTGATAAACACGTAATTCAAGTTTTACAGAAGTGTATAATCATAGACAAGGTAACTACATACTTTATGTGTTATTCTTATGATTAATTCACTAGCGTTTCATCCAGTTAGATTCTATGTTGGTTAGTTAGTATTGGTATATTTTTCGGAAACATACCAGAAAAGTATAGATCCATTACAATTACAAGGTGAAATATCAGCGAGGGATGTTAGGTGGATTTTTGTTATTGTATAACTTTCTGTTTCATATAAACACTCAGGTTTGGTTGTTGACTTTTCTTTGCATTGTTTCAGCTTATTCAATTTCTTATTGTATTGGTGTATACTAACTCCTAAACAGTTTTCAACCTTTTTTCATCATTTCGATGAAGGTGAAGGGTAAGAATACTGAAGGGTTCATTAACATAGTGCATAATTAATCATTAGTTTAAAATATTTCGATCAAACTTACCTGTACTATACTCTATTCAGCATTTTATTTGATTATTAGCTATAAACAAATAACCAGGCTTCAGGAGTCGAAATGAACTCATCAGCTGCTCCCAAGCCCATGATATAGGCAATACTCCACCCGCTGTTATGTGAGAGATAAGGATACTGCATAACTCCTCAAACCTCTGTAGGTTACGCAAAGTTCAAACTCGTGACCTGTTAGTTGCAGGTTGAATACTCATCCCGTAGGATGGTTGTTTCCTGTGTACAATGCTGCTCTTGATATCGCTTTGGCCCTCAAACACAAGGGTCACAAGTTCAAACATCACCATACTTGTCAGGACTATGGCAGCCAAGCAGTATGATTTTACCCACTAATAATTTTATCTAACATGTGTATAAATTGTGGAACACATTTGGGCATGCAGAAGCATTTTGAGACCACTCACAACTATTTTCCTAGGCTGTTGAGAATAAAAATTTTTAGTATTTTCCTCAAATTACCCAACCCCGCCTAGTTTACTAGCCGGTCTTAAACCCGAATAAAGAGGGAAAGTTGGGCATAGGAAATCAATCCAGTCGCCAAAGAAACTTCAAAGCACAGAGGAAATATAAGAAATAAATTATTCCTCACTGGGATTGGGGAAACGAAATGAAACCGGTTGGTGAAAGTCTTCAGAAAGCCAATTGGCTGATGTGTCTTCTCTCGATGAAAGCGAAAGTGAACATAGGGACATGGAATGCCCTCACAATGTTCAAAGCTAACAAGACTGCCCAGATTGGCAAATAGATGAGAAGGCGTGGCATAGAAGTGCTAGGAATCTGCGAAAGCAAATGGAACGAAAGTGAACTCTCCAAACTGTTAACTGAAGAGTCAATAATCTACTCCGGTCACCCAGCTGACGATCTATATGGTTAAGAGACTTGGCGCGTTACGAAAAGCATTTCCAACAAACTGCAAACATGCATCAACAGCTACTGCCTACGCTCAATACTGAAGATCAGATCAGTAGGTCAGAAAGAATAAGAAAGGAGGAACTCTGACCTGGTAACGAACCAACCAACTAAGAACCTATCGACCAACAAATATGCAGAAGAAAGTGAAGATGGCTTGGATTGGACATACAGTGATAAAACAGTTTGGGGATATTACGTTGCAGACCGTCGAGTAAAACCCAAAGGCGAAACGACAAGTTGCGTGTCTGAGGGTGATATGGAGAGGAGATGGTGGGAGGAAGAAATGAAAGGTTATAGGCAGCCGTGGAGTCAGGTTAAAAAAAACTGTAGAGAACAGAGTGAAATCGTGACGTGCTACTAAAGTCCTATGTTCCACTAGGAACCCAAGGACAGATAAAAAAATCAAATTACCCACTGCCTGATGTTACAGTTCCGAATTGGTTGTTTAACATTCTAAGATATGGATGCTGGATGTCTTATCTGTTTCTGTCACTTACTCCTATTCACTTATTGTCTGTCATGACCAACCTAAAATTTTGCATTCATACGTAAGAGTTCAAGTTTACACACCTCCCATCATTAATATACATCAACTTGGAAAGCAGTTATAGGAAAGACAAGACAGTAGAACTCATATATTTGAAAGATGTAGAAAACTATAAGAAAAATCAAAGCGATTAAAAGCCAACAGCGACATCTGGGAATATAATGACCGACCGATAGCTGCTACCTTGACGTGGTGGTCGGGCTTGCATATCACAATGACCCAACGAGCTATGCTGGTGGAACGCTTGTTCCCTCGAGGTCCTACCATACCAGAAAGGTCTGTTGGGTAGTGGTTAGACGAAAAGCAGTTACCGTTATAGTGTAAATTGCTACACTATGATGGGGGTCTGAGGGCGAAGTCGTACTGCTGCTAGCTGGATGGGGTGTGACAGCAGTAAGGTGTTTCCCTTGGATGACCAGCAGTGCCAAGCTGATGCTGCCTTCTCAGTGGAAGGGGGGGTTAGAAAAGGTCGGCCCCAAAAATAACACACTCCACCACGCCCCACGGTCTGCCGGGCCGGCGGTGTTGGTTCACTTGTCGTTTCCTTTCGCTCATCCGGCCCCAAAAATACAAAAATTCAAAATAATCATACTCAAAAGGCTGGGTGTGACAGGCCTCAAGCAGATGTCCGATGGGCTCTGCGGTCACACAAATCTCTTTCAGGTACCTTAAGAAGAAATAGCCTTCCACGGTGTGGGCAGCCGGGAAGTGTCAACCGCCCTCACAACTCTGTCAGCACCCAAGTTTCTTCTGACTGCTATCCTCCTCCTCCATCATTACCTTCTAATCTTCCTTCACGTCTCTTAATTAATGATGCTGCATCATCTTCAATTTCTCCTACCTCTGCAGCCTTCGACAACGATCTGAGTCCACAGAACAGCGTCCCTGGTCTCCTTAAACCACGCTCCAAATTACATATTGGAGCCTTCAATGTCCGCACCCTCCGTCAAATTGGCCAACAGGCTTCGTTGGCAAAGACTCTAGCAACTCGAGGCATGGATGTGTGCTGTGTTTGTGAGACACGCATACAGGACCCAAGTGTGGTTATTCACCTGACCTCTCCTGACCAATCTGGTGAATCTGCAAAATTCACCCTTCGAGTTTCTGGAGATTCGATAGCTAGCTCTCGTGGTCTTGCAG